GGTAAATCACATACCTGAACCATGTTTATGATTCATGAAGTTTTATTTATTTGGCTCTTATGCTTACCTTCAAACTGGAACTGTGAAGATCCGGGGTAGAATAGGTCTTCAGCAACCAATGCTTGCCGTAAAAGGCGACTAAGCTTGTCATAAGATGCAACTAACGGGATCGGGTGGTCAGGCTTGCTGACATGGTTGTTGGGTGTCATCGTATCCCAATTGCGTGGAACGATGCTCATGATGTCAATCACTGGATTGTCTGGTATAGACTCGATTATTTACAGACCGCCGTCATATAGCTGGAATATTGCTAAGTGCGGCGTTGAACAACAAACAAACAAACACACCTTCAAACTGACTGAATGTGTTGTTTAAGCGTGTCAGTGAGCAACGAAATAACAGCGCTTCGAACAGTCTTGCAGTTACTTCACGTCCTGTCCGCGTATGTTTCCGAAACGTTAATTTACCAACATAGATCAAAATCAGGGCTAAGCATTGATTCCAACGTATGACCTCGCGCAACTTATCGCATTATTGAGAATGACAAATACCTTAAGTAATAATCAAATTAAATAAAATTGTATTCAGTCTTTCTGACCGCCACTTAAAAGCTATTATAAACATTTCATCATATTAAATGCATATCGTTCATAACTGTTCAATAAAGAATATGCAGCGGGTTTACTATTGAGATAGACACTAAATTGTAAAATATCTACAAACCCACGACCGTTAAGGTGGTATTGGTGCATTGTTTAATTTCATAGGTCACATGATATTCAAACTGTGAAACTAAACAATGCACCAATACCACCTTAACGGTCGGGGGTTTGTAGATATTTTACAATTTAGTGTCTATTTCCAATCATACGATATTCAAACTGGCACGTGAAGATCCGGGGTAGAACAGGTCTTCAGCAACCCATGCTTGCTGTAAACGGCGATTATGCTTGTCGTAAAAGGTGACTATGCGTGTCGTAAAAGGCGACAAACGGGATCGGGTGGTCTGGCTCGCTGATTTGGTTGATGCATGTCATCGACCCAATTGCGTGGATCGATGCTCATGATGTCAATCACTGGATTGTCTGGTCCAGACTCGTTTATTTACAGACTGCCGTCATATAGCTGGAATATTGCTGAGTGTGGCGTTAAACAACAAACCAACCAACCAACGCAACCAGCCAAGGTACTGAGCGATGTAACATCAGGTGTACAGACCTGGCTGAGATCCGACTCCCTTGACAGACATCACTGAACATTCTAAATCCGCAGTCGATGTAAGTTCCAGGATATAACAAACTTCAAAGGGCCGTATTAATGTCAAAAAAGCTGACTGTTAACGTTTTTTGAAATCGTCATTTCTTGATGGGTTTGGATAAATGCGTTGTTTATTACTCCTTCAAGATATCGCATTAAATTGTTCTCCAGTTATCATGACAAGTCCCTGAGTGCTACGTCTGTGGAGTCAGTCTGTCACCAGACTGCTGCCGCCTGAACAATGAAGCTTGTTACTCAGTGACTAGAAGGCCGTTTGTCACTATATTGCCGACACGTGAAGATCCGGGGTAGAATAGGTCTTCAGCAACCCATGCTTGCTGTACAAGGCGACTAAGCTTGTCGTAAAAGGCGACTAACGGGATCGGGTGGTCAGGCTCGCTGACTTGGTTGATGCATGACATCGATCCCATTTGCGTTCTGTTGAGTAGGATGTACATAAAACGGCAGCTCTATATATTTTCTTCTCAGATAGACGTACTTTAAACAAACAAATAGAAAGTGAAACCCATCTCCAATCAAATTGAAATCACATTGCTCACATATTCTCAAGTCTCTAGTTATGTTTCTGTGTCTGTCCATTTCAATTATAGGTCTACGACAGCTGCATCTAAATTGTGTTGAAGCTATTCTAAATCTTTTCAGCTATTATCCAAACAAACAGTATTAGCCACAATCAGTGTCGAACCTCTGTGTCGTCGGATGTAGTTAGGGACCGACAGTTTGATATATTGGTTGTTTATTCTTGTTTTGTCTTGTGTTTTGTGTCAGTTGTATGGACATTAGATATTTTCAAAGCCGTATATCTTTTTACGACCCTAAATATGTTTCTGTATAAACACCTTACAGCAGTGTAGTTGAACAGTCTGAAGGTAATTATTTCAAACATTTTCAGGGACAATCCCCGCCCCCAAACCTAAACATATGGTCCGTTGCAAAGGAAATTGAGGGGCCAACTATTGAATCTGAACTAAATAATTTAGGTAACAATTTAAGCAAACTGGAGCGGTATTTTGTTTTCATAATGTTTCACGCTGCGATGTTTTCATTTTTAAAATACTTGGCTAAATTTTTTTTTAAAAATTTAATAAGAAATACAATTTGAAAAGCGTTTGTTCTCACAACGTACATGCATGTAAATTTAAATTATATATATGTTGATGGTGTAAACCGTGGACTTTAATTGACTTTAATTTGAGATTATGTCAAGAAAAGGCTGATTTTTTAATCATAGCTAAATAGCTATTTTGACCACCGACCCTGCGGTTTATACTAAACTAAATACCAAACTATTACTGAAACTACGTGAAGATTCCGGGGTAGAATAGGTCTTCAGCAACCCATGCTTGCCGTAAAAGGTGACTATGCTTGTCGTAAAAGGCGACTATCGGGATCGGGTGGTCAGGCTCGCTGACTTGGTGGATGCATGTCATCGATCCCAATTACGTGGATCGATGCTCATGATATTAATCACTGAATTGTCTGGTCCAGATTCGATTATTTTTACAGACCGCCGTCATATAGCTTGAATATTGCTGAGTGCGGCGTTAAACAAGAAACCAACCAACCAACTGAAACTACGATCCTTAGCGTATATCTGATTCCATTTACCGAAGAGCTATGGACAGTGTGAGATTTTTGTATCATTTTATATTAGGTTCCTAAAATACACCACAGTGCAACGTGAAAACACACTTCTTTCTTTGAACAAAGCAGCAACAAATATTTTGTGGATATTAACGTGCATGTCAACGAAAGTTGGATCTTTTTAATATCTGGTCGTCTGACCAGTATGTATCATTAACATTAACTCGGCATTGCATTCATTAAGACCTGTGAAGATCCGGCGTAAAATAGGTCTTTATGCTTGTCACAAGAGGCGACTAACGGGATCGAGTGGCTCGCTGACTTGGTTGATGCATGGCATCGTATCCCAATTGCGTGGATAGATGTTCATGATGTCAATCACTGGATCGGGTAGTCAGACTCGCTGACTTGGTTGATACATCTCATCGTATCCCAATTGTGTGGATATATTTTCATGATGTCAATCACTGGATTGTCTGGTACAGACTCGATTATTTACAGACCGCCGTCATATAGCTCGAATATTGCTGAGTGCGGCGTTAGACAAACAAACCAAGCATTAATTAAGCATGCACATTTACCAATAAACACGCACTCACGAACTCACGCACAAAATGTAAAGAACTAAACTATTACGTTCGGATCATTTATAAATATTGCTTGGGGAATTAATAATGTTAGAACTAATCTAATGTGTATTTCGGTTATCGTTGTTTCTATAATCGACGTTTTCAAGAATGTTACAGTATTATGTCATGTACTAAAAGACTAACGGGATCAGGTGGTCAGGCTCGCTGTTTGTTTGTTTGTTTGTTGTTTAACGCCGCACTCAGCAATATTCCAGCTATATGACGGCGGTCTGTAAATAATTGAGTCTGGACCAGACAATCCAGTGATTGACATCATGAGCATCGATCCAAGCAATTGGGATCGATGACATGCATCAATGGATTGTCTGGTCCAGACTCGATTATTTTACAGACCGCCGTCATATAGCTGGAATATTGCTGAGTAGTGCGGCGTTAAACAACAAACAAACAAACTAAAAGACATGTTTATTTTTCTGACACTTGGCAGCCACGTCGTTCTTGTAATCGCAGGGTTAACATGACCCCGTGTCCTTGCAGATCAAGTAAGTCGATCAGTTACCATACACTCTCCACGCCCATGCGGGTGTTCCTGCATTGCTATAAATATATTTTCCATGTAATTCAAAGATGTCGGTCAATTCTTACGTAACTCCAAGGTCATCACAGCTTTTTGTTTGCGACATAAGAGAGAAAATAGAATGTCTGCGTTTCTCTTGTGTCTCATAAACCATCACGTGTGTGTGTTTGTGAGCACAAGGGATCGGGGTACTCCCATGTTTATCTCATCCTGAAAGCATGAACAATAACAACATGTTTGATCTTTATAGTATTTCATCAAGTTCAAACACCCCCCTTTAAAAATCCAATATCAACGTTTAACATAAGTATCACGGACCTTTCATTAAATTCATCGTGTTTAACCAGAAAGAAATGTCATGTTAAAGAAGATGAATTGTATGCGCGATGTCCCGCCTGTGCCCATAATCACCGGATTGTTATCACCACTATTGTGTTCAACTTGTCTCTTCACACCTGGTGTTTTAAATTTGCCACATACAATATTTCATGATGATGTTATGCAGCCTCTCTTATACCCGGGGCTATATGGATGATAAGCTTTGTTGTGTATGACTATGTCCGGTATCTTTGAACGTAAATAATAAATGGGCATACCACTTAACAAATGTTTTCGACATGAAATTTTATAGCAGATCTATCAGTACACCTTTTATACCATTACAATTACCGTGGTTACGGATTGAAATAAACAAATATTACGCGAGTTATCAAAATACGGGGCAAATATTCCGTAATTTACGAAAAGGATTTTAACAGCACGTGTACATCAGTTATTGCTAAGATGCTGAACATAAAACTACTGGATAACCATTTATATGAAAAATTAATGTATTTTCCCGGATATGATTCGTTATGCATCAGCGATTGTATACAACTCTAAGATAAACAGGGCGTCCATTCGGTGATTTGAGTGGTCAGGAATTTGTTATCCGCCCATCCCCTACGCTTATATATATTGCGTATGATTCTCAAATCGACAGCAGGGGGACGTGGTATCGAGTGAACAATGGTACTCTTTAGCATGTGGGTGCTTGTGGTCTTGCTGGCCGGTGTAACTACCGTGACGGCGGAGAAAGATAACGCCACCATGAGTGACGAAGCCAAACGCATGGTCGGCCAGACCATCAACATGGGCTCAATGATGAACCTGACCAATATCCAGCTAACACTTGGGGGACTGCCTCTGAACATGACCGGCTTCACACTCACGTTTAACGATGCGGTACGTATGCTTAGTTTTGCATGTTTGTGTCTTTGTTTGTTGTTTAAGGTCACACTCAGCAATATCCCAGCTATATGACGGCGGTCTGTGAATAATCCGGGTCTGGGCCAGACAATTCAGTGATTGACATAATGAGCATCGACCAAGTCAGCGAGCCTGACCACTTGATCCCGTTAGTCACCTGTTACGACAATCACAGTCGCCTTTCACGACAAAAGGCTTAGTCGTCAGCGACATGGAGCTGATCAAACAATATTCTTATCAAGCGTCTCAAATAATAATCGAGACGACAAATAATGTTTGTAAGCCTCTGTTCCTTTGTGCATGGATGGGTTAGTATTTAAGATACCTAAATAATTATCATCACGGCAAAGATAGATACCACAAATGCGAATATCGTAAATATCTTCGTAATATCGCTCTCAAGATAATTGCGTTTATCATAAGAAATGGTTAAACTTAACTTTCTACAACTTATGTCATCAGCATCTCGCGTCTCTCTCCTCTCTCTCTCCCTTCTCTCTCTCTCCTCTCTCACCTTTCTCTCTCTCCTCACTCCTTTCTCTCTCTTTCTCCCCTCTCTCTCCTCTCCTCTCCCTTCTCTTTCTCCCCTCTCTCGCTCTCTCTCCCTCTCTCTCTCTCTCTGTCTCCCCCTCTCCCCCCCCCCCCCCCTCTCTGTCTCTGTACTTACTATTTCATATTCAATCGATCAGGAGTACATCTTACATGCAATTGTCTTTGCAGTTAATACTCGACAGCATACTCCGGGGAAGATCGATTATGGACCTGCTATACATAGCAGGCAGATTGGCAGACATCGAAGGAATGATTGCGAACGCCCTCAACCTTCCTCCCGTAAGTTAACATGTGATGCTTCTGTTCTCAAAGGTGTAGTCATATAAGTCCGAATTATTGCCGATACGATGTAAAATGTTAACTCACTCTCTCAAAGAAGACGTCCAATATATGTCATGTTTCATCAGTAAACGCCCCCATTAGTGCTAGTCTACCTTTTTAAGTGAAGTAGCATATTCACTAACGTACTCATACATTATTCCTCAAGAAACAGCAAGATATCAACAACTGTTATGCAAATTAAATGTATTTTGATTTTGAATACTTTCGCACCCTTTTCGACACACACATTTTGTTCCAATCCACATACAGCAGCAGTCAGGCGTTGCTTCTTGCAACATTTTCTAATTTCATTATTGCTTCAATACACAAGAAACATATGCATCGTTTAGGGACGATAGCCAAGTAGTTAAAGCGTTCTCTCGTCATGTCGGGTTCGATGTGCCACAATGGTACAATATGTCAATCCTATTTATTGTAACTTACTCACTTTTAATAACGCTGATCATCTGACTTAGGGAGCGACCATTTGATTTCTATGGGGGGGGGGGGGGGGGGGGGGCGGAAGTTGTTTTCTCAGCAAACTATTTTTTTCTGAAGCCATTTCTAACAAACTATTTTTTTGTAACATACAGCTGAACAAACTATTCATTTCAGATGGTAATTTTGCAATTTTATTATAGAGTAAAATATGCAATCATATTTCAGCAAATGCAGCCTGTGGTGTATTATAACATGAACAGCTATAGAACACCCGTTATAATAGTCTTTTTCATTCCCTGACATAAATACAGTAGTCCTGTTTGTAGCCTGGTGGAGGACGCGGTAATAGCTGTTTCTTTAGTCCCGGCCCGTATCGGTGGTATACTTCCAAGCCATCGTAACTGTACCAACCTTTGCCTGGCACACACACACATCCCACGAAATGACCCCCATTGCCATACACTAAAGCAAATAGTGTATATACTCGTTCATTCATCTGGATAACATTGGGGTATCTGGTGAGAGGACAATTGTCTATCTCTATGTACACTACTGGTGGGGAATCAATGGTGAACAGTCTTGAAGAGAATGTTCGGACACCAGAACAATTCTCATTGGAGTCTTTACCCTGAAACAGGCATGGTCGAGGATCATGTTCATTGGCAATCCATGAATTTAACTTCTCCTGAAGAGTAGTGTGTTGACCCTCCTCCCACGACAAAGAGATGTCAGTACTTGTTCTGTGAATGACTGGATTCTCACAGTCATCTTTTGCACTACATTCTGATGAAAATTCAGTGGTGACGAGAGGTTTCATCTTAGAAAATACTCTCTCCTGTTGTCCACCATAGCAGTTCCAATGTCGTGAGTCTTCGGAAAATTCATCAAACTGTTGTAGCCAGCATATTTTTCCATCAGCGTAGTGTTTCTCTTTAAACAGTGTGTGAACTTCCAGCAATTTAAGCGCAAATGGTTCTATAATTCTCTGAAAATTTCTCAAGATGTCTCTTCTGAATGTGAACAAAATGTGGAAAAAATATAAAATGTTGTCAATAGGACAGGTGTTCGTCAGTCGGATGTCATCTTCTAAGCTGTAACCTCCCCATGGAACTGGATCTGGTATGCGCTTTACACGTTTATCAATTTTCACGTGCCCCTTTGTCAAACACTGTAGTTGTTCCATTAACTTCATATACAGAAATAGCAACAAATAAGATTAAAGTAATAGTGATGTTGCGCCGAAAATTTCTACGTTTATAATGCTGGAATAATTCTTTAATTTAATAGATAAATGTTGCAATGACATGCAAAATTATATCTGGAAACAAACTATTCATTTTTCTCACAGTAGTAAACATTCTATTTATTTTACTGATTATCTCCAACAAACTATTCATTTGTAAATACTTCCGCCCCCCCCCCCCCCCCCCCCCATAGAAATCAAATGGTCGCTCCCTTAGTACACACAAACACCTCACCACCCCACACACCAACCACTCTAACACTTCACAAGCACCACCTCATCACCTACACACAGAAAACCCCCACACAGATACATGTAGTCACACAGTCACACACACACACACACACACACACACACACACACACACCATTTTACCCTATGACCCTTTGCTTCCAAATATCCTCTCTTGACAATTTCAGACTAGCGTCGCAATTGAAAGTATATTCGACCCTGCGGACGATATTCCTCTTGATCGTTCCGACGTTGATGCCATCATCCAAGATCTGAATGACGATCCCACAATCCTTGACTTTCTGAGAAATTCGTCTTTTCCGGCAAGAAGGAAACGGAAGGCTCTAGTAGATTCAAAATGGCCTGGCACCGTGATTCCTTACCAGATTACATCCGACTTCGACTCATGTAGGTATCTTTTTGCTGAAATTATTTCATCTCCGTGGGTTTAACAATCTCATTAAAATCAGATATTAGTTCTCGCTACCGCTTAACAAAGATCTGAGGACATCCCATTAGGGGTCACGTCAGAACGACCTTTCATCCGACCAATCAGAGCGTCGCTTACCAGATCATGAAAGTGACAGTCGAAATGTGATTTCTAAACTTGCAACCTCGAAAACTTTAACACTGGGTATTTCGAACGATAGTTACGGGCTTGACGACTGAATCAATACAATCTAGACCATCTATTAGCCATTCCAGAATGTGTTTTTGTTCAGGTTTCAGATTTTTTATCGAGAATTTGTCAAAATATGTTGTCGCGTAGTCGCCAATTTGAAATTAGTGCCGTAAAGCACGAGTGAGCTGCCTTCTGATTGGCTAATGTGAACTTCTTGTCAGAGATTTCATTGGTCGGTCAAAGTACGCGCAATGTCGGTCTGACGTGACCCGTAATGGGATGTCCTCAGATCTTTGTTTAGCGGTAGCGATAACTAAGATCTGAATTTAATGAGATTGTGGGTTTAACAGCAGTCAATGCTGGTCTTCAGAGGCGATTAAATGATCGGTGCTCCGACTCGGTGACTGTTTGATAGCCTATCAACAGATCCCGATTGCGTGGATCATTGCTCATAACATTGGTCATTGGCAAGAACACGTTTACGAGCCGCCGTCATAAAGCTGGAATATTGCTGAGTGTGGCGTTAAACAATAAATAAACACATAGATGTATACAATACAATCCTCTGTAGCTTTATTAAGAACATGTTTAGAAGGACACACGCTCGGGCAAATTGATACTTTTCTTGAGTCCTCCGAACACCATTACTGTTTGGATTCCGTAGAACTGGTTACCAGTCAAATATGCTTACCCATAGAGTCGTCTAAAATAGATGAGATGGTCACGTTTGAAGCTTTGTTTGTTTGTTGTGTAACGCCGCACTAACACAAATTACAGCTATATGACGGCGGTCTGTAAATAATCGAGTCTGGACCAGACAATTCAGTGATTGACATCATGAATATCAATCCACGCAAATGGGACCGATGACATGCATCAACCAAGTCAGCGAGCCTGACAACCCGATCCCATTAGTCGCCTTTTACGACAGGCATAGTCGCCTTTTACGGCAAGCATGTGTTGCTGAAGACCTATTCTACCTATTCTAGATATACGTGTATCTCATTATAAATATACGTGTATCTCATTATAAATATACTTGTATCTCATTATAAATATGCGTGTATCTCATTATAAATATACGTGTATCTCAACATGCCGGTTATAATTGTCAAGAAAGGGCTTCCTTTGACAAATGAACATTCTTGAAAAACATTTGTATTTACGTTAATGAAGATTTGGAAATAATGTTACCCATTTTATTAACTTGATTGACCGATTGAGTCAACATCACGGTCAATCGGGTTTATGGAAAATTATGATAAGGTTGAAACACTAATAAACAGATTTAAGAAGAAAGAAACATCAATAAATAGAATTAATCGGGTATCTAGTATTATAACACATGCATGTACTTACTGGTATCTGGTTCATAACACATGAAATAGTTTGTTTTTTAAATCAAGCCAGTGGGACTGTTCAGGCGAAAATTGTGCACTTTGGGTTAAGAGAACCAATAATGGCACACGTCTACATTGAACCATTCCAAACATTTCTGGATGATGATCCAAAGCAGCGCCCCCTGGTAGTGACGAAAATTGGCCACCAACATGTCTGAACTCAATAAAATCAATGATTATCTGTACTAAAAATATCATAAATATCATAAAATGACAAAAAGAGGGATTGAAATTATATGAATAGAAAATCAGTGATTTCACCAGGTGTTCGCGAAAAGGGTAATCATGTCCTGCCCTACCGGTAGGACCCACCACTCACACAATTTGCTTAAAAGATTCAGTGTTTGTTTGTTGCTGATGCAGCACGAAAGTACTCGCGCCATACAAAATGATGGACCAGACAATCCAGTGACACGATAAGTTATTTACTGATCTTTAGTTGGAACTAACAACGACTTGTTAATTTTGCTGCTTATAATTAAATTATAATTGATAAATGCTACTGAGCTTAGGATGAAACTCTGGTGCCTTCAGTCACCATAAGAAACATCGACCCAGAAAATACTCAATCTGGATTATCTGCCGAATCAGAGTCCATTCTTGTGCCTGACCAAGTGTTGTCATTTGGGTATCTACATATCAAGACATGTCCCCGACCAATCCCGGTCTGCAGGATTCGGTAATGTGGGAAAGACTCGTTTTAGTGCTGATCAAATGTCATTCAATGCCCCTTAGACTTAATTTTGTCCTCTAAGATCTGGTATTTTTAACAAGATCCGATTCTTTTGTCTTGTTGTGTGTACAGTATAAATTTAAACGAAGGTCGTGTTGTCTACACAAGTCATAGAATCGGAATATCTGCCATATGGACGACAGACCTTGCTTTAAATGAATGAATTGTCAGTACCAAAACTAAAACGTTTGGTAAAACCCAATTTAATTTAATTGAACAAATGATACTGATATTTTGAACAAATATTCTACAATTTTTCATAATGAAGTCATTCTGGCGGCTTTTCGCCACCACTATGATAAGCAGCGTCATTGCAATTACTCCTGATAGTACAGATTGACATCAGTAGAGATTTCAGCCATGTTGGCGGCCATCTTGGCTTTTCTACCACCAGGGGACGCTGCTGAGCTAGATCCATATGCAGAAATGTTCGGAATGGTTCAATGTATATTTGTGTTGTTATAATTCTGTTATGTAACCGCTCCAGATAACATGCCAAAAGATTTTAAAAAAATGATATTTCTCAAGAGAATGGCAGAAAATGGACGTTACTATCCCCAACCTTGTTCAAATTGTCGCCACAATTTCTATAAGTGTATCTAGTTAACAAGGTAGAATGTATGCACGCAGTATGTAGCTGAAACACTCAAGAAACATTGGGGCGACATTGGACCCTATCTAAATTCCCCCCAAAATATACTTTAATGCTACGTACAATGTCTCCAAGATTGTTTGCAAGAACTTTATTGAATCCAACAGTGGCTTTCCTAACCCTGTGGATGTACTTAACATGTATTTGGGGTCCAAAACTTTTTATCTGAGGCTGTAAGGTAAAACCTTATATTTACAAGAAACGAGAATATGGCTCCCGTACATATGATATCAGATATATGACTTTTTTGTTTGTTCTTTAACGCAACACGGAGCTATAAAACTTTATGAACGACAACCTGTAAGTAATCGAGTCTGAACCAGACAAACCAGTGATTGTTATTTGATAGAATAGGTCAGACATTAATTAGTAACAATTATCTGCGGAAACAGATTTCATTGGGCGTTAAAGTCAGAATAGTGATGTAAATTTAAAATGAATGGATCGCTGAAAATCAGGAACGTCCCACTTGGCTGAGGACCCGTGAAGATCCGGGGTAGAACAGGTCTTCAGCAACCGATGCTTGCCGTAAAAGGCGACTATGCTTGTCGTAAAAGGCGACTAAGGGGATCGGGTGGCCAGGATCGCTGACTTTGTTGATGCATGTCATCGATCCCAATTGCGTGGATCGATGTTCATGATATCAATCACTGGATTATCTGGTCCAGACTCGATTATTTACAGACCGCCGTCATATAGCTGGAATATTGCTGAGTGCGGCGTAAAACAACAAACCAACAACCAACAAACCACTTTGCTGAGGTATACAATCACCCAATCAACCAAGTCACATCCCATCTTACGACATGCACAGGTTGCTGTGGGACTATTCTAACCTGGAATACCCATTGGGTTACACATACATAAGTCATTTACTTGTATCTAATTTGCCTAATAACGGTGTTTCAACTCCAGTCCCGGCCAGTAGACAGGCAATATTGGACGGCATCGCCTACTGGGAGGAAGAGACGTGCCTGGACTTTCAAGACGTTGGGGCTGCCGCGGGATCAAAGATCGTGTTCAGACGACTTGTTGGGTAAGTGCCTTGTTGGGTAACTCTTAAAAAATATGTAGGGGGCACGGGTGGCCCAGTCGTCTAAGGCGCCGCGATTCGCTGTGCAGAGTTGCGTCCCCTGGACACGCCCGAAACCTATGATCGTGGGTTCGAATCCCGGTTCGCCCCGATTATGTTTCTAGGTTTGTCAGCACCATACCCGTGCTCGTGGGTTTCACCGAAGTGAAACGTCTGGGACCTGCATCACTTCGGGCTTTCCTCCCACATTAAGCTGACACGCCGTGTGATATAACTGGAATAATGTTACAAGCGGCGTTAAACCCGACTCACTCACTCACTCACTTAAAAAATATGTGTTAATGACTACCTAACCGTCCCTCTTAAAGTGCAGAATTTTATTTCATGGTGCTTCTACAGTGTAACTAGATCTCTGTCACCCTTCGATAGGGATACTTGGTAAAGTTAGGGATACTGGTTATAAAATATAAGTAGTACATTTGGAGAATCACAGGAAAATAGTTGAGTAGCAGATCACTACAACTTTCGCTTTGCCTGTGAAATGAGTGAGTGAGTATAGTTTTACGCCGCTTTTAGCAATATTCCAGCAATATCACGGCGGGGGACACCAGAAATGGGCTTCACACATTGTACCCATGTCGGGAATCGAACCCGGGTCTTCGGCGTGACGAGCGAACGCTTTAACCACTAGGCTTCCCGACCGCCCCGCCTGTGAAACGAGCGATCTAAGAACACGTATTTATCTACTATGAAAACGTATTTACGATCTATGAAAACGTATCTTACTTTTCTTTTTATTGTCCAGATATATACTATCGAAAAAGAGTAAACCTGTATTTCAGGGTTCACCTGGCCGTGGATCTCGGTATTTTTAGTGCATGTGCTCTCAGCACCACATGTTCGGGGTCCAATGCATGAATATGGGGGGCCCAGGCTTGCGACATTAGGCACGCTGCACTTCGTTTCCAGGAGTGTTTATTATATGCTCAGAAACATGAGAAACACAGATGTGAGATTGATTAAAGTCACCCACTGACACCTAAACTTTGAATATTTCTTCCCAGAAAAGAAATGTTATTTTCATGTAACATGCAGTCTACAGTTTTGATAAATTTAATGACTCAAACAGCCATACCTTTCTGGACTCTAAGTTTACATTTTTTGTTTCCATTCTCAATATTGTATGTGTACAGGACTCGTTGATTTTCTGATAAAGCCCGTTTCAAATTTTGGTGTATCTCATCAAGCTGATAAAATATTTTCTGTTTCTGTTTGCAATCCATGGGGATTCCGGGTTAAAAAATGCCCCAAGTAGCATATGCTTCTCGTAAAGGCAGGTAGACAGGGTCGGTGACTGGTTTGATGGAGTGTCATCGTCAGGCAGCGGTGTGGAATAATAGCAAATTGCTAATACAGTAAGCTACGGTTATAACGAACACGCTTATAACGAACTGACGGATATAACGAACTTACTTTTTGGTCCCGACTATTTGCTGTGGTTATGCTGTATATATGCTTATAACGAACTACGGTTATAACGAACTAAAATTAGTAGTCCCTTTGAGTTCGTTATAACCGTACTTTACTGTAATAGCAATCACTGGGGGTTTTTTTCTGATGCAGAGTCGATTATTAAGCAGTCGCTGGAATATTGGTGCCAAGAATCAATACAAATAATCAACTGTATATCGTTAAAAAAGCCATAACTCAATGAATATTAATTTTTCAGTTCAATGTATTACGAAATTACGAGAAGTTCATGTATCATTCGCCAGATTCCATTCACCAATGGAATGGTCATGGCTCTGAAACGTCCATACAGTATTCATCCTGTAGGGGGCACGGGTCACCAGGTTATCTAAGGTGCTGCGATTCGCTGTGCAGAGTTGCCTCCCTTTGGCACGCCAGAAACCTATGATTGTGGGTTCAAATCCCGGTTCGCCCCGATTATGTTTCTAGGTTTATCAGAACCATACCCATGCTCGTAGCTATATAGGTTTCACCAAAGTGGAAAACGTCTGGGACCTGCCTCACTTCGGGCTTTCCTCCCACATTAAGCTGACACGCCGTGATATAACTTGAATACTGTTAAAAGCGGCGTTAAACACAACTCACTCACTCACTCACTCACTATTCATCCTGTACATGGTGGAGCAGGATACGCTCACCTTTTCACGAACACCTGGTATCATCACTATTTGATTTTGATTCATAGACACATGCTTATGATATAGTCGGAATCGTACAAAGGACTCAAAGGACTGCTTTTAATAGAGAATGTTTATGTTTGAGACAATTTTGTTGTTGCTGTTATTTAAAAATCTCCTTCGTTTTTCGCCAACAGGTGTTGGTCCTACCTGGGTATGAAGCCCTATCCTCAGACTGTATCCATCGGTGATGGGTGCAATCAGGTTGGTTCAAGAGAACGTACATTTCATGTTTCAGTTCCGTTGATTTTGTGAAGGCACGGGTTGGGTTGGTTGGTGGTGTTGGCGGTGGAAGGTTTGCTTTTGGAAACAATTCCTAAATTTGTTCCAGTAAATACACTATTTCGTTCAAACAATATAAACCCAAAACGAATATCAGGCTGTGGTCTATACTAACCGTTGTTCAGATGTTGATGTTATGTTAGGCGTATTCACCAATCCATAGTATAGGGTACTACTGGCAATGTCGTCCTGTGCTCCACAATCCGCCGTGCTAATATGCCCACCTTAGATGTACAACAAGTCTTCGATCTTTTCAAATCCCAGGTTCGCCGGAACCATTGCTATGCTTTCCCCAAAGGTTGTGAATGTCTGTATGTAAGTGTGAGACCTGCATCATTTTGGGTCGGCCTCCAACATTAAGCTGACACGTCGTGATGTAACTGAAATTCTGAGCACCGAGACGTTTATAGACAATCGTTCAGTGTTGTCAAGTCGGTCTGTAGCTGAATTAAGCAAAACACAAAAACCGTGGCACGGAGTTTGATCAACACCTTTGGTGCTTGATAAGGCACAGTCAGATTACCCACTGTAGACAGATTTCAACAACAACACATTTGATTGATGTAATGAATACATAGAGGATGAATGAAACACCTATTTATTATAAACTTTTTGTACAATGTAAAACCTTGAAACGTAAATTCTCCCTACTTAACACGCAGAGACGGTTCACCACCCCTTCTATTTGCGACTAAAAAAGTAGTTTCGAAAATGTAATAAAAAAATATTTAGGGTCACGAAAATTCTTTGTCATACATTTCGATATGATTATATACAAAATCACCTTTAACAAAAATATTTTTGAAAACTAGTAGACCGCTGTTGGAAGCGAAAGAATACATGCTGGTCAAGTAACAGAAATGGCGCTTTGCGACTGACGTGTTCAATGAGAAATTAACAGTTTATAACGAAACATTTTCGAGAGAATAACAAACGGCAAGAAGTGATATTAACTTAATAAATGACCACCTGTCATTATTTTGCCCTGTCAATGTGGACCTAACGTAAAAAAGACGTCAACAGTTTGTGTAATGGTCAGACACTTACAATAAAGGGAGACAATTTAAGGGGAGTTAACTCTTGTATGACAATAGTTCCGTCAAAGTGTTATGTTCACTGCAATGAAAACATCACTGTTCTCAACTTCAGAAAACTCAGTCTTTCACACTGAAGTATATTATAAATGGATCCAATTCTTCATTCAGTTCTGTACAATTCATTTATCAGTACACTGAATGTGTGTGTTTAAGAAAGCACTTGTAGCCAGAGAGATTGGCCATGCTCTCGGATTCGTGCCGGAACATCGGAGACCAGACAGAGATATCTACGTGAGCATCAACTGGATCAACGTGCGTCCTGGCCAGCTTCACAAGTTCCTCAGGAGTACCTGGAGGCGCATCATTACACTGGGCGTACCTTATGACTACTCCTCTCTACTGCACTACGATGCGTTCGTGAGTAACATTGAAAAAATAGCTGTATATCCATAGCTGTATCAAACAGTATCTGAAAGCTTCGCTTTATGTCCAGAGTAACCCACATATATCAAGATATTTGTTTTCTTCAAAAATACCTATCTGTATATAAAGGATTTGTCCAACAAGCTGTTATCTGAAAGCTGCCATCGGAGGAGCATTCAGGAATGTAATTCAGATCTGGTCTGATAAGGTTAAATGTTCACAAGGGGGAGGTGAGGTGAAATGGGGTTTAACGTCGCGTCCAAGATTATTGCACTTATCTAGCGACCTGCATGTACGTGTGTGTGGCTGCTTGTACTAGTCCGGCTTGATGCCGATTTATAGTGCTAGCTCACTGAGATACCATGCCGCAGTTTAACATGAATACCCTACTCAGACACAGTATACTGACTCCGAGCCGACCAGTCCTTGTTTTAGCCCCTTAATGCCGAGCGCCAGAGTAACAACAAGTACCATCTTTTAACGTCTTTTGGTATGACGCGGTCGGGGATCGAACCCCGGACCTTCCGCTCTCCGGGCGGACGCTCTACCACTAGACCACGGAGGCGGTCTGTTCACAAGGAGGGGAGGGGTGGAGGGGGGTGGTTCTAATGGTTACACGTTGATTTGGCATTACGAATGTGTCCAATCTGTAATATTGGAAAGAAAAGGACTGACACAATTTCTCATTAATAAGTGCTTGTGATCCAAAAATAATGCTACCATGGATATGGGAAAATATTGATTCATGAAATACCACGTATATTTGTATGTATCATACTGTATATATTGCATTGTAAGTGTAATGTCCAATGGGCTGTCGCCTATATAATTACGGAAAAAAACACACGGCTTGTATTGGAGTTACTTCATACACGACACTCCCAGTAAATGCTACAACATAGTTGTTTCCTTAAGCTGTATTTTGGACCATCTATGGATAAATTGTTGTCATTCTTTACTGTCTAATCATCATAATAATATAACCCTGGGGTTGTTTTAAAAATTATACAACTTCCTTTATACAATTGACAGTTATATGCAGCATAAAATACACTCATATACGGAATACTATTTGACTAATACATACACCTAAACAGATATGGGTATAAACTTTGTGAAAATGTTAGCATTTTCCTTTTAAAGCAATTTTCAAAGTATTTCAAGATTCACACACAAATAATTTTTATTGTGATATTTTTCTCTCAGGAGACAATGTGGATAAAGTCTTTCTTCGTAGGGTATGTCATGGTATCTTTCAATTCACCGTTATATGCACAATATAATTACAAAACTATGTGTTTCATAGTGATATGACGCAAAACAAAACATTGACGATACACACAAAAGTTCACAATGGAAATCAAGAGGCTTCAGCAATAGAGATAATATGCGAACAATCCTTTTTGCATTTTTGTTTTGATGCGTGTACGGTGAACACAGCATCACATGCCATACATTTCCATTGCAGATGTTCAATAGTAATGGACAGAAAACTATCACCGGGAGGCAACCTGACGTTGACAGGACTTTTGGTTTCAGCAAAGCTCTCTCCTTCTACGATGTGAAACTTGCAAACTTGAGATACTGTTCAGGTGTGTTATTTGCATATTTCTGCTGAGGTTTCAAATTGTACTTGTATACGGTAGGATAAGTCTGGGGACGCTTGTTTCTTATTGTCACAGCCTCGACAGCTCCCTGTGCAGTAGAACACTCTTTCACTTACTTTTGTAATTTTATGAAACATTATGTTTCTATATGTATCATAATATTGATGTCTATCTACAAATGCAGCCGAAAACTAATCACGCATTTCCTCAAGAACCTATTCAGTTGAACTGACGTAAGGAAAGTTTACAAGAAACAGTCTCTTATTGATCCTGTCGAGTGGTAAACTGTTAAAGGTGTCGAGCTTCCTGCAATTACAAAAAAATAATAGAGTAAACTACGATTATAACGAACACGCTTATAACGAACTGACGGATATAACGAACTGACTTTTTGGTCCCCACTACTTGCTGAGGTCATGCTGTATATGTACTTATAACGAACTACGGTTATAACGAATTAAAATTAGTAGTCCCCTTGAGTTCGTTATAACCGTAGTTTACATTTAAAAGGGAGATTAGTATCCATTTTGTGGTGCCCTTTTGCTGTATAGACGTTGTAATTAGTATCCTGTGTGAAACTGAGACATAATATATGTGCAATATAATCGTTAACTGCTAGATTGATATTGGTGATACAATTGAAGTTCTGCTTCAACGATAAGAATCAAACTTTTGGTACTCCAAACTGCACTTAGCCTCACCACCTCTAATAATCTTAGGGGGCACGGGTGGCCCAGTCGTCTAAGGCGCCGTGATTCTCTGTGCAGAGTTGCGTCCCTTGGGTACGCCAGAAACCTATGATTGTGGGTTCGATTGTGGGTTTCACTGAAGTGGTAAACGTCTGAGACCTGCATCACTTCAGGCTTTCCTCCCACATTAAGCTGACACGCCGTGATATAACTGGAATACTGTTAAAAGCGGCGTTAAACCCAACTCACTCACTCAGACAAATGTCACCCAAAGCTTTATGTCATTCAATGATTGCATGTGGAGCATAGACGGTCCTACTTGTGCATCACAGAGCGATATGTTTAATAATAATTATTATGCACAGAACCCTATTAGTACAACATCTAACCAAGCAAATGGTGATTGTATTATCATGTTGCTAATGTTTCAGCGGCGATAACATAACTCACTCACTCACACTTATAATTTTAATGTTTTGTGGACACATCAGGCAGTTGTCCACAGGGACTCGAGACGCCCATGTGCTTGAAGGACGGATACAGAAACCCAAAGAACTGCTCCTATTGCAAATGCACAGATGGCTTGACAGGAAGAAACTGCGAGTCGGTGGAGCCAGGAAGGAATGGTAAAACCCGGATCACGATAAAAAAAGACCCGTGAAGATCCGGGGTAGTATAGGTCTTCAGCAACCCATGCTTGCCATAAAAGGCGACTATGCTTGTCGTAAGATGCGACCAACGGGATCGGGTGGTCAGACTTGCTGACTTGGTTGATGCATGTCATCGTATCCGAATTGCGTGGATCGATGCTTATGATGTCGATCACTGGATTGTCTGGTCCAGACTCGATTATTTTCAGACCGCCGGCTTACAGCTGGAATATTGCTGAGTGCGGCGTCAAACAACAAACAAACAAACAAACACGATCAGAAAAATGAAACTAGCATAATTGGTAATATGCATTAATGAGATAGGATAAAGATGGCGCAAAGCGGTTGTGTCTTAGCGTGTTCTAAAGTATGTGAGCACCTCGAACGTTTGCATTTTCGTGTGTGTATTTGGGAATAAGGCTCTTCTCTGTCCAGTACTCGCCCTGGCCTGATACATGACCGATTCCTACAGCAGGGTGCTTGGACATGAGCGATTGTAATGCAGGTGATGTTCGCATTTACCATGTCTCATCACGAAAGTTGTGAGAATTAATTACATGCACCAGTAATAATCCATGACAAACAATCACTCCTGACGTCTCCAGACAGGTCTGAACATCTTCATCGTATGAACGTTTGGTGATTTTATGTGAAGTTTTTATTACTATCTTGACACATTGCTCTATTTGCAGCTGTATGTGGTGCGACATCGCTGGTGGCAAACCCGTCGTGGCAAGTGGTGACATCCCCCGGCTACAACACCACGGGGTATACAGCATTCTCTGAATGCTCTTGGCTTTTAACGGTAACAGCAAATTCTGCAGAAAGAGTTATGGTCTATCAAGATCAAATGCACTCAGTTTAATATCATGAACAAAGGCAAGTGGTGCTCACATCATTGCCAAATATGTTTGGTGGCCCACAAATTCTATGTCTCTACAACCCATACAACAATTTTACTTTCCCTCCATAAATTCATTTAAATTTAAATACAGCAGTATTGTGTTCAATTCTCTCAGCCCTCCCGTCCATCCCTTCTTGTCACAACTGTTATTGTCAACGAATTATTGTAAAATCGTTTCGGAGAGGGCATTCGATTTACAGAATTATTATCCGTGGTCTGTCAGCACCACATCCGTGCTCGGTGGTGCTCGTGTGTCCGCACACGCGGACGACCAGCGTTACTTGACCCGTGAAGATCCCGGGGTAGAATAGGTCTTCAGCAACCCATGCTTGCCGAAGGCAACTAATAGGATCGGGTGGTCAGGCTCGCTGACTTGGTTGATGCACGTCATCGATCCCAATTGCGTGGATCGATGCTCATGATGTCAATCACTGGATTGTCTGGTCCACATTCGATTATTTACAGACCGCCGTCATATAGCTGGAATATTGCTGAGTGCGGCGTTAAACAACAAACCAACCAACAAACAAGCGTTACTTTGAGTTTGGCCATGAGTTCAATCAGGACACAAAACTTCCACAACACAGTATTTCATGATCACTTCCTATAAACAAGATAAATGTGTAAATATATTACCAGTCTCCTTTATCTGCCGAAACAGGCAAATAGCGTAAAATTGTATTGATTTATCACTATAAAGTAGTAACGACACCAGTTGTCCTGCCCTACCGCCAGAACCCGCCACTCACACAATTGGCTCAACAAAGTAAATGTATGTTGCCTGACGTCGCACTGCAATACCCTTGCAATGAGACGGCGGCCGGTAAACAAACCAAGCAATCAGATGATGGACCAGAAGCCTGTAAGAATTATGTTTTGACACAATATAATCATGATTCATCTAGGCACCCAACAACACTACCATAGCGATGCGCTTCAGTGGACCATTTGAATTCCCTTGTCAAAGTCCTTGCATGGACTTTGTGGAAGTGAGGTTTACTGATCTGGCCAGAACAGGGCCGAGGTTTGTATGTCTTTTAGGATTTCTCATGATTTTAACTATGATTTTGGTTTTCGTCTGGAGTATTTTAACGATAACTTCTATAAAGTATCAAACTTCAACAAATGAAACAATAAAGATACAGACAATATGTTTAGTCACAATGAATCATTAAACTTTATTAACTGGTATCCAATATATTAATGTAGAAGAACTCTGTTAGGACATTAGGTTTTGAGGGGCTGTCGGGTAGCCTAGTGGTTAAAGCGTTCGCTCGTCACGCCGAAGACCCGGGTTCGATTCCCGACATGGGTACAATGTGTGAAGCCCATTTCTGGTGTCCCCCGCCGTGATATTGCTGGAATATTGCTAAAGGCGGCGTAAAACCATACACACTCACACTCATTAGGTTTTGAACCAATCAAGCTAACCGGATATATGGTAGACATATTTAGGAAAAGAGTTTTAAAGGATTTAATACATATGGCACTGTTCACTTCACCAGATATTGCTGCGCCACGCGTCCCCTGCAGTACTTCCGGTCCCATGGGAACGAGGCTCTACTCCTGTTCAGGGCCAACTCTAGTTTGAGTCGGCAGGGATTTGCTCTCGAGTACAGAACGGGTTAGTGAACATCACAAATGCAACGTTTCTCATATCCGTTTCTTTTAGAAGACTGTGTTTTAGTAAACTCACCTCTATACCTCTTTCTGGCCAATTTGGCGGAATGTAGGCACGGGTGGTCAAGTAGTCATATGCGCCGCAATACGCTGCGCAGCATTGCGCCCCTTACCTGTGTCAGGATCCGCATATCGTGGATTTTAGTGGAGAATGATCTTGGGTTGTCGACCATAATGTTTCCCTACGTGTATAGTGATAATCGTCCATTGCCTGTGTTACTTTGAGGTTTCCTTAACATTAAGCTACACCTAACACTTCGTGATACAAAGGAAAATACTGTTCAAAATGGCATTAAGCCCAGTCTCATTCCCTCAGTGAAAATATAAGGGGTAATTCATAACCTAATTGTAACGATTGATTGTCGGTATGCACCGAAATTTAGCTTCATAATTCTACCCCAACGGGTATTCCAAATAGAGTTCACTTCCAAATGTTATTCTATACAAGAAAATTGTAATCATAATAACCGAGACCGTCCTTTTGACTTTTGAAGTCCGAATTATTCTGAAAACTTCTTCGTTTGCTGTGGACGACGGTTAAACCAGTACAATGAGTGGGTTAGTGAGTTGGGTTTAACGCCGCTTTCAACAGTATTCCAGTGATATCACGGCATGTCAGCTTAATGTGGGAGGAAAGCCCGAAGTGATGCAGGTCTCAGACGTTTACCACTTCGGTGAAACCCACGAGCACGGGTATGGTGCTGACAAACCTGGAAACATAACCGGGATTCGAACCCACAATCATAGGTTTCTTGCGTGCCCAAGGGACGCGACTCTGCACAGCGAATCGCGGCGCCTAATACGACTGGGCTACCCGTGACCCCTAAACCAGTACAGAGAAAGCATACATCAAAATCATAGCGATTACTAAACAAAATCATATTCGAGAACATAGCGACAATATTTATAGGACCACGTGACTACATCATATGGATAACTGGATACAATCACGTTTGAGACGCCGTATTACTATTTAATTCATATATTAAGATATCACAAATTTTAGTCCATTAGTTCCAGGACATAACCAATTTATCCCTTACAAAGCTGACACTAAGGTTGTCTACAAAAATGTCTAAAGACAAGTAACATTTCAGCCATTATATCAAAAGTATCCTCCGTACAACACTGCTGAGTGAGTAAGTGAGTGAGTTAAAATTTAACGTCGCATTGGCGTTATTTCAGCCATATAGCGACGATACCAAGTTAATATAGTCACAATTTAATTATTTGTGAAAAGTTATATTTAAAAACAATTTATGAAACATATTTAAGCATACTATATTTACAAACAGTTTATGAAACATATTTGAGCATAACAATATCATGTATACAGTTTTCAAACACGGGCTATAGGCCACCAGTAACCAAAGCTATGCCACCTCGCTGGGGATCATAGGGACTTACAGTACCTCTGCTTCCTGCATCAGTGCTACCCTGCATCATAATCCAATTTTAAACAGTATACTTTCTTATGCCCGGGAGTTTAGTTTAGCCAGTAAGGTATTGTTAGCCATTTTGACATATGGTGCTTATTTTATTGACGTTGCAATCAAAATCTCAGTATTTGGTTTGTTCTTCGTAATAACCGTCTGTAAGTGTTATTGCTACATTAAAAGAGAAATATAAACTTAGTACCCGATAATATTATTAAACAAAACAAAATTATAGACTTTATATGAGGTCAACGCCTATTATAATGGACCCGAGAAAAGCAATATTGACCGACGACGAAGTTCTATGTACAGACTATAATTGTTGTATTATATAATCTGCTTTCGTCTCTTAATTATAAAAATGCAAAGATATCCGCCATATTCATTGACTCAGAAGCGGTTACACGTCATACGACAGAAACGCATGTAGACTCAAGTCACGTCTTATAATTTACGGTACTGCCAATCAGATGTCTTCGTTTGTTGGAACCTCCTATAGTTTGTGTAGGTAACATAGTTTGTTAAGTTGAATCTGCTTTTGTCTCGTTAGTGTGTATAAGACAATAAAGAGATCGTCCAAAGACTTCGGCCTCGGTCCATATTGTTTTTTTCCGGGTCTATAAGAACGTCGGTGAGGTGAGGCGAAAGAGGGTTTAACGTCGCGTCCAGGATTATTGCATTGTTATAGCGACGTGCATGCACGTGTGAGTGTGTGTGAGAAAAATGTACTAGTTTTTATACCAAATCATATCAGTAAATAAAAACATGTGATATGGATGAATAATCATGACATCAATAATTATTTGGCAGTATTTGATATTACAAATTCGATTTTGAATTCGTATTGGATTATTGATAATTATAAAAAGATAATGAATAACTGATAAAATAGCATGTCATACTGATGTGGCTAATATGTATGGTGTTCACAAACAGAACCCTGTGGTGGATGTTCCGGTGGCGACTCAGTACAGCCGTGTTTGGTGACGCAGAGAGTCATGTGTCCGGGCGTCTTCAGTGGCAACTGCAACTTCTGGGGCTTCGGTCGCTGCACAACGTAAGTTGACATCTGACGTATATATAGAACCTCCTTAATCTGGAAACCCCACTGTCGGGCCGTTACTGGCCCTGATTACTAAGAAAGACGAAACTTTGTATTTTTACATTATGTATCATCATGTAAATCACAAACTCGTTCAGAGACCGTGAATCTAACTGATGCACGTCATAAAGCGTGTATTGTTTTGACCAAAACAACGGATCAAGTCGCCCAAGGCATTGCAAAAGAGCTTGAAGATGTTGTTTGTCGTCCTTTGGTCGAGCAAGGATCGACTGTGGGTTGGAATCCCGGATTTGATCAGACAATTGTCTTGCTTTTGTTATTCAAGTACTCATTGGCATGATTAAACGAGGGCTTCTTTGTCACTCCCTCACTCATGAATGACCTGTGAAGATCTGGGGTTGAATAGGTCTTCAGCAACCCATGATTGCCGTAAAAGGCGACTATGCTTGTCGTAAAAGGCGACTAACGGGATCGGGTGGTCAGGCTCGCTGACTTGGTTGATGCACGTCATCGTATTCCAATTGTGTGGATCGATGCTCATGATGTCGATCACTGGACTGTCTGGTCCAGACTCGATTTTTTTACAGACCGCTGTCATATAGCTGGAATATTGCTGAGTGCGGCGTTAAGCAAAAGACCAAAACCAAAACTAAAACTCATTAATGATTGTTATGCAATGTGACTGATGATCTGCAATATTTGTTCCACAGTCGTAGACAGAATACATGCTACCGGCTAGCACAGACCTGCTGCGAGGGCTACAGACTCGTCAACAACACGTGTTACCGTCAGTAACCTTCTTGCAAACGTTGTATAAAATCTCATAAAAATCAGATCTTAGTTCTCGCTACCGCTAAACAAAGATCTGAGGACATCCCATTACGGGTCACGCCAGAACGACCTTTGGTTAATTTTGACCGACCAATGAAATGACTTGACAAGAAATCGACATAAGCCAATCAGAGGGCAGCTTTCTCGAGCTTTACGACACTGGTTTCAAACCGTTCGACGACCTTCGAAACATATTTTGACGTATTCTCGGTTAAAAATGTTAAAACTGATATAAGAAGAACGTTCTGGAATGGCTTATAGATGGCCTATATTGTACGGATATAATCATAAAATCCGTAGCTGTAAATATATGTAAATATGTAAAGCTGTTAAATATTTCGTGGTTGCATGATCAGAAAACACATTCCGAATGTCAGTTTCATGATCTGGTAAGCGACGCTCTGTTTGGTCGGATGAAAGGTCGTTCTGACGTGACCCGTAATGGGATGTCCTCAGATCTTTGTTAAGCGATAGCGAGAACTAGGATCTGATTTTATTGTCGTTTTTAAGATCCCAAGTTCATTCATGAACACGTGATTTGTAATGCCGATTGTTTTGGTAGGTTATTTTATACTTACCCAGCGCCATTGTAATAAAAAATGAAGAAAACCGTTTTTATGATAGAACATGTGACGATATTTACAATGCATGCAGTGCTATCGGAATGTTCTCAGCAATACACGAATGTGAACTCTAATGTCAGTTTTCTTTAAGTGACCAATCAGCTGTGAAGATCGCTAAAGTACAAGTGTTCCTACATGTATATTGGAAAGTCACTTGGCTTGATTTTTCAGTCCTACAGAGAATTATTATATTGATTTGAACGCCGAAACGCGCCAGGTCACTGGCTCCTTAGATCAGGGTACTTCACTGAAACAGCTGATTTCTTCTGGCATGGACAGGTTATTATTTTGTGCGATTTTCGCAATAATTATCGGTAACGTGTGAAAAGTACCATTCATCATAACATTTTAGAACTCTGCAAATATATTGATCCTTCAGCGATAGCCAAGTTCTATTGCCTAGCATAGGGTTGAGTTACAAATCACGTGTTGGTAGTAACATAAAGTTTACTAAATAAATCCGGACTAGTTTCTTTTGTTGTTTAACGGTGCATATTTAAGCTGTGGCGGTCTATAGATCATGAGTCTGGACCAGACAATGCAGTGATTGACATCATGGAAACTGAGCGAAACAATTGGGAAACGATGACGTGCAAAACAAACAAGTCACCGAGTCTGACAACCCGATCCATTTAATTTCTTAGGTCTCTTGGACCTATATTCTTACCTCGAATATCCACGGTTAGGTGACGCCGTTGCCGAAGGCCAACTGTCGGGGTTTTAATGTTAATGTTCTATCCTTTTAAGGTACCTTGTCTGACTGGGCGGCTTGGTCCGCCTGCAGCACTACTTGTGGTGGGTGTGGCACGAGGACCAGGACAAGGACCTGTATTCGTCCCCCTTGCAGGTACATGAGAATCATACTTACCGTATATTTACAAAAGAAACTAATGTTGGGCGCAACTGTAAATCGATTAATAAATTAAATATCTAACGAAGGGCGATGAAAACAAAATATCAAAATATGTTATTAGAAAGGATTTAATTATAATTTTAGTCTACCATTTCAAATAGTCTATATGCAAATAGTCTGGTCAGTTGTGAGTATGTGCCCAACAGCACTGTGTCAGTGAATTGGACGCTGTTGTGAGCAATTTTGTGTGCCACGCCGTGCATATTAACAGGCATATTCAGATATGTGTAGATGTATTTTAGTAATATGAGTCACCTGCTATCGTTCTATCTGTATTACAGCGAGTCGTTAACCGAGACGGAGAGATGCAACACTCAGATCTGCTCGGGGACGACCGTGACAAGGGTCTGCTCCGCCAGCTTCAACTGCGGGTGGTGGTTCATCAGAAGACAGTGTGTCAGGTGAGATACACACCGCATTTCGAGTAAACCATGAACTCATCTTAAGGCTTCCCATGTTCCCTTCTGTGTGGTTCCTCATCTCTCACCGGCCCTGAATTTTGTTCAAACGTGAAATACAGTAAACTACGGTTATAACGAACTCAAAGGGACACCTAATTTTAGTTCGTTGTAGCCGTAGTTCGTTATATGCATATATACAACATTACTACAGCAAAAAGGTCGTTATATCCGTCAGTTCGTTATAAGCGTGTTCGTTATAAACGTAGTTTACTGTAATATCGTTTTCTTATATCAATTCACTTACGGTTTGAGACTGACCCAGGGAAATTTACGTTTTTGATCTGATTGGTGCAAGATTACAGACTCCAAGAGATCACCAAACTTCCCCCAAGCTTCTAAATTACAGGATACTTTAAATGAAATAGAACATCAAATTGACAAACACAGCAACATATTTAGCAAGGAGAGAGTATTCGGCGTCACGCCAGTCATCACTTGTTGTAAACAAGAGGGTTAATTGGTTGGGAGTTCAATTTCATGCACTGAGGATCTGCCATCGTGTGGAGAGCTTCGCGAACGAGCTATTGCCGCGAGGAGCTTGACAATATACGGCAGGCGATACCTTGAGTTTGCCTAGTTGCAAATTGATATTCATGGTTGAAATGTGTTCGAATAGTTCCTTAACAAGAAGACTTTCACATTCCCTGTATAGGCCATGTAGGTAGTTTAGTTTCACGTACAGAGTATGAATAATACTTCAGAATGTAACATACTGTTTTATTTCGGATTACAAAATCTTTATAGTAAAGTACAAATTCTTGTACATTTTTGGCAAAATCGCATGCAGGCTTTGAACCCACACTCTCAGAGCTTGATACATTATGGTGACATGTTTCACTTTACAGTGTTCTAAACTATAAAATATGATACAATATGTTATACACTTTTGTTTTATTTTTCCCAAACGCCCGCTGTCTTTCTGGTTGCGTTTGGAGAACAGAAACACACAAACATATTGATGGTCTAACAGGAAATCCTGAATTTGTTGTCTTTTATTGAGCTATGTTGAAGGACATTGTCATTTATGGTCATCTATGATGAAATACGACTGAGATCGTACATTTTAGAGTATTTTTCAGCAAGTAATGAAACATAAACGTATGTTTATGTATTGTAGTTTCACCGTAAACTGTTGTATTGCTTCTTTGCTGTAACGTGTTGTATCGATGGCTTAATATAATCATTTTTGAAGCTTGATCATGACTTCTTGTATTTGGCTTCACTTTAGAGTCTCGCATTTTGCATCAGTGTTAATTGGTGTTTTGATGATAATATATCAGTTGTTGTGTTGCTTTTTTTCAAAAACATTTTTAATATTCACCGAAACGTGTTGTAGTGTTGTCTCAACGAAACTTAGTGATTCAACAACGTAACTTGTTGCATTGATGCTTCACTGTAACCTGGAGTCATTCTACCCCGTAGCTACACCATACAGTAAACTACGTTTATAACGAACACGCTTATAACGAACTTGCGAATATAACGAACTGTTTTTCCCTGACAGTTGCTGTGTATATGATGTATATATGCTAATAACGAACAACGGTTATAACGAACTAAAATTAGTGGTCCCTTTGAGTATGTTATAACCGTAGTTATATAGTTGTATATAAGTTGTTGTCCCAAGGTACCTTGTTTTAGTGACACTTCGACATTAACAGTTGGAGTAATGCTTCAGCGTAACTTGTTGCAGTAACTTGTTTTATAAGAAGACATACAACTGTATGGATGACAACTTCTGGTTTATTACATTAAGCAAGACCCGCGAAGATCCGGGGAAGATTAGGTCTTCAGCAACCCATGCTTGTCGTAAGAGGCGACTAACGGGATCGGGTGGTCAGGCTCGCTTACTTGATTGATGCATGTCATCGTATTCCATTTGTGTGGATCGATCCTCATGATGTCAATCACTCGATTGTCTGGTTCAGACTTGATAATGTACAGACCGCCAATAGCTGGAATATTGCTGAGTGCGGCGTTAAACAAAAAAACAAAAACAAACAAACATTTAGCAACGTTTCGATGAAGATACTTGCACCATCATCAAACCGAAGTGATCTTTCTTTGTATTGATCCAATATCGTAACTTGTTGTATTCAGATTGTACTGTTACTTGAAGCGATGCTTCACAGTAAGTTGATTTAGTGATACGTCATAGTATAGAGATGGAGTGATGCGTCATCGAAGCTTGTAATGAGTGAGTTAAAATTATTGGTCAGTATTTCAGCCACAAGTTCTACATTTATAATTTATAAAATATTTTGTTATGATGCTTCTCTTTAATATGCTGTGGCTCAATTGACTCTAGAATTGTAGACTGACTATAGTGTTTTCTCGTGCAGGTACTTCACGTGCTACAGACTCAACAGATGCTGCACTGGACGCGTCGAGCAGAATGGCCTCTGCAACTGAAGATACCATTATTGTCTCACAATAAATGATTATGAAGTAAAACGTATTCAACACTTTGTTATTTATTATTGGAAGTGGAGTGATCTTTACAATTATTCATGACGTGCTCATGAGTTTTGCGAACACCAGATGCCATCACCATAACTTTGCAGTAAGACATGTGAATATGTTTTTTCTTTGAGCACTACGTATTTATTACACAGAAGCAGTCTCGTTTTTTAGTTTTTGCACACAAACGTAAACATCATATTTTGGTCAGCCATATTCTGAATTCCATCAGTCATAATATCTCTAGTTTAACATTATGAACTTAAAGTAAATATAACACATCAACGCCTGCAAATAACCATGCGATTATTCGTCAAAACAGATAATTTCTTTTGGCGTAAGTGACAAGAATTGATCACTGAAAATCAGTTATAACACCAGGTGTTGGAGGTATCAAACCAATGTATATATACAGTATATAGTAACCTCATTTGGTCTTCTTACGACCAGTTTTGGATCAGTTCTAACAAAGAAATCCAACAGGGTGTTGATCAGGGTTAGGGTTAGGGTTAGCGTGGACGGTACATGACAGCTTTCCCTGCATAGAGGTGCTTACGCTCGATGACACACGATCACACGGAGCCAAAGATAAAATAAAGACAATTCACGATGTCATTTCAGAAGTAGAACATGCTCATAAACAGTGGGTTCTCAATCCCACCGTCGTCATATTGCTGGAATATTGCTGAGTGCGGCGTTAAACACAAACAAATAACATGCGTATCTGATCACCGTCTGCATGGTGGTGATATACAAATATGTGTCTTAAACAAACAAAAAATTAAAATAAAGCAACGGACTGAACTACATTCAAAATGTATTTCTTCTTCGAAATTGAAAAAAAAATCATATTTAGATCTATGTATAACTATTCAGGGGATTGCCTAAAAGTCGGGCCAAGAAAAGTCGGGCCGGGCCGGGCCAGCGGGTAATACTAAAAATGGATTGCAGAATAATAAAACGAAACGCGCATATCTAGGCAGATCTCAAATGTCCACAAACGTATAGTTTTGCTCATTTAATTGAGTTTGAATAAAAATGCACCTTCAACAATGTAATTAACTGATGATTATGACTACATACCGTGAGTCTCGTAGAAAAGTCAGCGTCTTGACTGTGTATTCTTTGATTAGAATGCTTCTCACCGACCTTAGCGTGTAGGGGTGTGATGTCCTGGGCAGGAAACGACAGTGTTTTGACTACTCTTCTTTCATTAATTAACGTGTTTAGGTAATTAACCTTTACTAATTCGTGTTAAACCAACACAGGATGTTTTCTGGAAATGGATATTCTCGAATGTCAAAAGACTGACACGACACGTGTTAATAACTGTCCAAGCACTTCTAAAGTTCCTAACATTATTTATATCTAAAGACTAGTATTTTATCCAATTATTTACCACTTTATTGTCTCATATTTCAGTAGTTAAAGAAAACACAGAACTCAAAGTGAAGCCCTTTTCCCTCTACATTCTCAACATAGTCTCTATCAGAAGTGTTTGGCTTGTGTTGGGTCCGACTTGGCCCGGGCGGTCAAAATCAACTTTAAACACACAGATGTATCTTCAAATGTGATTAAATCTATAGATTAGTGTTATATCTACCTATACACCAATTTATAATGTCACAGATCGCAGTATTTATAGAAGACATGGGGCTTAAAGTGAAGCCCTTTTCCCCTCTACATTCTCAAATTGGTGTATAGGTAGATATAACACTAATCTATAGATTTAATCACATTTGAAGATACATCTGTGTGTTTAAAGTTGATTTTGACCGCCCGGGCCAAGTCGGACCCAACACAAGCCAAACACTTCTGATAGAGACTATGTTGAGAATATAGAGGGAAAAGGGCTTCACTTTCGAGCCCCTTGTTGTCTATAAATACTGCAATCTGTGACATTATAAAGTGATGTATAGGTAGATATAATACTAATCTATAGATGTGAATCCATTTGATGATACATCTGTGAGGTTTAAGTTGATTTTAACAGCCCGGGCCAGGTCGGACCGAACACAAGCCAAACACTTCTGATAGAGACTATGTTGAGAATGTAGAGGGGAAAAGGGCTTCACTTTAAGCCCCATGTCTTCTATAAATACTGCGATCTGTGACATTATAAATTGGTGTATAGGTAGATATAACACTAATCTATAGATTAAGTCACATTTGAAGATACATCTGTGTGTTTAAAGTTGATTTTGACCGCCCGGGCCAAGTCGGACCCAACACAAGCCAAACACTTCTGATAGAGACTATGTTGAGAATGTAGAGGGAAAAGGGCTTCACTTTCGAGCCCCTTGTTGTCTATAAATACTGCAATCTGTGACATTATAAAGTGGTGTATAAGTAGATATAATACTAATCTATAGATTTAATCACATTTGAAGATACATCTGTGAGGTTTAAGTTGATTTTAACAGCCCGGGCCAGGTCGGACCGAACATTTCTGACTTGTTTTTTTTTAAAGAAAATACAGTAAAAATGCTTCACTTTAAGGGCGCAGATTTCTTTAAATGCGATACACCTGGACATTATAAATTGGTGTATAGGTAGATATAATACTAATCTATAGATTTAATCACATTTGTAGATACATCTGTGTGTTTAAAGTTGATTTTGACCGCCCGGGCCAAGTCGGACCCAACACAAGCCAAACACTTCTGATAGAGACTATGTTGAGAATGTAGAGGGAAAAGGGCTTCACTTTGAGCCCCTTGTTGTCTATAAAGACTGCGATCTGTAACATTATAAAGTGGTGTATATGTAGATATAACACTAATCTATAGAGGTAATCACATTTGAAGATAAATCTGTCTGTTTAAAGTTGATTTTGACAGCCCGGGCCAAGTCGGAGCGAACTGTGTGACTGTCGAGAGTAGAGGGAGAAGAGGTCTACTTTAACCAACGTGTCTGCTTTAAATACGATGAACAGTGACGTTATAAAGTGGTATTTACTTAGATATAGTACGTTCCTATAATATAAACGCTATGCCGACAGATGGAAATTGGTATGACGATAGCTAGAAGTATTTGATACGTGTCAAATCCTATTTCGTTTAACGATTGCTCTTTTACATGTTACCTAGATCAGCGACGCTAACACACAGCTCCACTTTCTAGTTTTTAAGTGATTTACTCCGAATTACTTAATTATGCTGCACGTTTTGGATTGGTGATTGTTCAGTAGTGTCATGTGTGTATGTTGCATCAATAATATGTAGATATGATCGCCGATAATTAAGTAATTAGCCAATAACACTTTGGCCCGTCTTGGCCCGGCCCGGCCCGACTTTTAGGCAATCCCTAAGTGACAAAACCTATCCTCATGACAAGATGGATGGCTTCGATTCCAAGAATCATCTTTCTCTTTACATGTATATGCCATTTCACTATTCATAGGTACGTGAGGCATGCTATTTCAACAATGATTCATAGATCGTCATACCACTCTCAAAAGTTGTTTGACTAGGGTTACCAGATTAAAGGCCTTACTGAAGCTTTCATAAATATTTATGGTAGACAAGAGGATGACATTTCCAAATTGGGTGCGTCAGTGACAAATATTAAGTTTGATGCACTTCTCTATTTAGATAAGTATATGAGCCACCCCTACGACACCCATACCCCGACGGTGTGGACCATCACTTTTAATATCGAGCATTGATTTATCTGGTACAGACTCGGTGATTTACAGACCGCTGTCATATAGCTAAATTATTGCTGTGTGTGGCCTTTAACAGCAAACAAACATCAGCGGTTTTGCATTCCCTTGGGTATTTCTCATGCAATCTGTGAAACACTTTCTCTGAATTATCTCCCTTTATGGTAAGCCAATAATACACAATACATAACAAGATGAATTGGGGAAAGATAGGAGATTGTATTACATGTAAGCTATAACAAGAGCCAGGGCACTACATGAGCTTTCTAATGTCACATGAAGCAAACACTAGTTCACATGTTACTCGAAATATTCGCAATCACTGAACTGAAAGCATCACTATTAGACTCTAAGCACCATATAAAGTCTCCCATAAATCCAAACCCCAGTTCAATCCTGATCATACGAATGAACAATGGTCATGCGAAGCATAGTATGAGGAAAGATTTGTGTTATTCAGATAAATGCAAACCCAATTACGCAGTATTATTAAATTTCTCAAAAACAGATACATGAAGATACCTCTGATGTGCTTCAGAGGTCCAATCGCCTTGAGCCTTGAACATATTAATATTCACACCAGATTCAAAGGCAAAAGGCTATGCCCAGAGTACTACTGACCTAACTGGACCAAGCAATTATGCAAATAGAGGTCAAAAGCAGCATAGGTAAGGGTTTAACTGTACAAGTACTTTCCAAATAAGAAAACGCAGGTGAGTCAACATTTGCAGGATTGTCAGTTACCAGGGTTCTATAAGTCCTGACTGGACATATCTTCGAATGAGGCAACGGTAACAACAAAGTACGTTGTTTCAATTGTATGGTTTTAGCTGAAAGAAAGTGCAACATGAGAAAGTCATCTGACATGAGAACATGTCCACATAATAAACAGTTCTTCTGAGATGATAGACACATAAGATAGAAAAGGGCCGGAGTAAAGGCTGCCCACAGGCAAACATATAAATAATTACTAAAATCCAACATTGAGAAAAAAGGCATGTAACAACTGTGATGTGATCGAAAAACAAACTGTCCAATTTGCTTTCTCAAACCTCTTAGTTGAGTAGTAAAAACATTGAAGAATGACATGTAAATGTGAGAACAGTCCATGCATGTGACTGCCTTACGCTAGACACAATGTTACTTAAATATTGAAACGATGACACTGTCCTTCTTCCAAATTGCAGAAGCAAGACCAGGGCCTGGTACAGGTACCAACTGAAAGTACAAACAAAAAACAAAATATATTTTCCAGTGAGAGCACACATTTTTCAATTTCTGTAAATGAATAAGTCTGTACTCCTTCTCCTGTTGTGTTATCTCCTTGCACAGTAAAATACTCGCAAAACCCAGTACGAGGGACTCCAGTGTCTTGGTGAATGGCAGTCCAAATTCGAACATCAGAAACAAATGCATGTATCCAAAATGTCTGATTCATGATTTTCATGATTTTTAACGTCATGACTGTGTTTCTAACCATCATCCGAATGCATTGCCTTGTCCTGTACATAATTCCACTGTTGCTGAAGGTGCTGAAGGTCTGTGCCATGTCCAGTGTGAGGAGTGAGCCTATCTTTATCTCCAATGACGGGTACACCCAAGGAATCAATGATGTCATCCGCTGCCTTCATCAAATCTCTATCCCAACAAAGTGCACATGCTTCCGATGCCAAATCTTCCTCACGGTTGACAAGAGTATTCCCATTCATCCCATTACTAACAGTGGTTGGAATGTAGATATCTGCACAAGGTACTGTAACTCAAAAGGCATAATTCGCTTGTTGACTGACCCGCCGATAAGCAATCGTCATTACTATACTGATGGTGATCTTCCTGCATGTTTAACTCAATACTGTTAATACTGATTGGTATGCAATAATCCAGTCAGAATCGCAATGGACATATCCCTTGAAAGTGGTCTGGTACAAATTTCATGCAATTAGCACATGGTCTAGGCATGCTATGTCACATCATTCCAGATGAAGCACACCTGCCGTCATAAGGTCATGTAACTTATGTCTAGTACATCTAGTCCTCATATTATTAGCCTCCAAAAGAATACAGAGTTGTACGCCTAGTTATACTGTAACAGATGCAGTTCAGCGAAGCCAAGTGCCAAGCCAATTTAAAACAAATTTTAAAGGGGTTGCCCATGTTTATTGGGCCCTCGCTAAGGAGTTTCCTATTTTCTCAAACCGTGGGTAAACATGTCAAAGAAGTCATAAGAAAAGACAATGTCAGTCATCTGGTTCAAAGAAAACTAACCTTGCTGGCTGACACTGTACCAGCGTAGGCTCTAACGTTGGGGCTTGAGGAGATTAAAGTAATCAAAACTGGTTGTGTTTGAATTTCAAACAATGTCAACTGACAAATAAGTATTAATGTCACCCCAAAAGGATGAAATGTTTGGTAGATATCTAAGACCACTTGGCCTTATAGAGGGTGTGGGTTCCATGGTTCTCGTGAAGGACTTCACTCCCTCCTGGAATGTATCCTGCAGATTATATGTCTATGGTTTACAAAGATGCCTATGAGGAAGAGAAGCTTTAGTTCCCTCACAGCAGTCTGTAGTCCGACAACTGTTTTATGTAGCAGTTTGGTCAGTCAAAGCTGCATCATTGTAACCGTACACTATGCTGATCTCACTTTGAGTCCAGAGCACTCTGTCCTTACCAGCATGTATGTCAATGAAATCAAATAATGAAATCAGAATTACTAATCAAGAAGCTATCCATCGTAACTAAAGAATATAGGGCCAATGTGGCAGTTGATTTGTCATATTTTGGCACACTCTACAACTTGTAATCAAGCAACATGGTGATGATTTAGCAGCAGCAAGAAACTTTATCACTCTCTTTCACCATTCAATCCTGGCCAGTGATGAGCTTGTCAAACGCAAGATTCAAATGAATGTGAAAAAGTTCATTCAGAATGTAGTCATAAGATGGGTATCGACCATTGATATGGCTGAGCGAATTTGCAGCAGAATACATTTCCAATATAGGCGATTCCAGACGACTAAGAAGACTAAGTCTGGAGATGCCCAAACTCTGACAAAAGTGGAGGTGCGATTTTTTTTTGAAACCACTGAAAATGGTCGGAACAGATGTGTGGAGAGGAATACCCTAGCAATGGATCAGATTAGACAATCATGCTCGGTCGCTTGGCTACACACCTGGTTCAAAGTGATCTTGACATCGATACATAGTGTCTCGGGACAAGAACATCATCTTGCCATCAACTAAGAGGAGTTTTGCCATTGAGGATGACCGATGGGTCTTCAATTATATGTATGGGGTTTTTATTGCGAAATTCATGCATATTCATTGACAAAACCTTGCCTTCTGCCTCTAAGGATTAAAACAGCAAACGTGCATTCTCGCTCACCTGGATTTATTCCAGACCATAAATTGAGATAGGGGATGAAGAGAGATTTCAGCGATTGACATAAAACTAAGGGAACGTACATGTTTTATTATATGACAAACGTATTAAAGTGGTAAAAAAGGCCAAGTTCTTGGGTATCATTTTTGATCACCATTTGACCCTCTTACCGCACATCGAGTATTTGAAAAATAAAGCCTGAAGGCCCTTGAATTGTTGAGAGTTGTTTCTTATCCATGTCGGGAGGGAATCAGAAAATCCTACTCTAACTATACAGAGCCCTTATCCGATCCAAACTGGATTATAGCTCCATCATCTATGGTGGAGCCTGTAAAAGTAATTTAAAATTATTACATACAATTCATCATCAAGCCCTGAGGCTTTGTCTTGGTGCATTCAGAACATCACCCATTAATAGTCTGTATGTGGGGGCTGATGAGCCATCTCTGAAACATGGTCGTATAAAACTATGATTATAATACATCACAAAACTATTTTCCGATCAATCTAATCCAGCCTATGATTGCGTTTTTCATGATCTGTATGAGGATCTGTATCAAATGAAACAATCACTCATTCCACCCCTTGGAATTTGAATGAAACCTGAAATATCTGCTGCCCAAATTGACCCCAATAACATCTCTCCCAAATACTGTCGTCACATCCGTGGCAACTGGTAAAGCCACAGGTAGATCTTTCCTTAACTAAACTAAAGAAATCTGACACTAACCAACTAATGTATCAGCAAGAATATAATCAATTAAGAACCACTTACAACACTTCCAAGTCTCTTTTTACTGATGGATCCAAGGATGGTGACGCAGTTGCTAGCACCACCATCATTGGATCCAGAACCATATCAACAAGATTACCAACTGACAGTTCAATTTTTACAGCAGAATGACAGGCAATATTAACAGGTCTCAAATATATCAATACTCAGTCACAACATAAGCAGTTCATCATATTTTCGGATTCCCTTTCCCTTTCCTCAGGACATTAAGAATATTTCATCTGAACATTCACTGTTACGCGAAATTATAGAACTACATAACGACCTTGCGACTGGCCAGTACGACATAGTCTTTTGTTGGTTACCCAGCCACGTTAGAATCATTGGTAAGACAATTGCAAAAACAGCACTCAACACATCTGTGACACCACTTCTTATCCCATACAGTGATTATAAACCTGTAGTTTAGATGTTATATCAACGATCCTAAAAAAATGTGGGACACCCAAGTAGATATTATCAAGTTACATGCTATAAAACCAACGATTGGTTACACCTACTTGGGTTATCAGTCCAGATTTGAAGAGGTCATTTTACGACGACGACGCATTGGCCATTCACGATGTACACATGAATATATATTTAAAGGTGAGGATCCTCCATTCTGTATCCCTTGTGATGAGAGGATCATGGTCAAGCATGTCCTGCTTGACTGTATTGATTTTTCCATCACAAGGTATATATATTTTAAATTTTCAATACTCAAGGATCTTTTAAACATATTCTCTCATTTATATTTTGGAGATTTTAAAAGAAATGGTATTGATTCATAATTTTTTATGTAGAAAGTTTGAAGTATATGATTATGAACTGAGATTGTTAGTGGATGTACCCTTCATGGAGGTTGAAGTAGCGTAACATTTTTGTACTCCTGAGATGGTATGTAAGCCCACTTCATTCAAAGTATTTAATATATTCCAGTTTTTGAATTGTAGAATATTTGTTTGTTTAAATCTTTTGTTAACCTTCTCCATAATCACCAGTGACTAAAGGGATGGTGTACATCCTGCTGGAGAACAATGCAGGTAGCAAAGGTACTGTAAGTCCCCATGGTCCCTGGTATGGTGGCCTAACTTTAGTTGTTGGTAATCTAGCCTGTTTTTATAGTGTGTCGTTTGTCATAATCTGATAATTTTATTGTTCTAACACTAGTTTTACAATTATAATCTGTGATATATTGCTGATTGTTGTACTGTTCTTCGACGACAGCTTTTTATATATAATATAAATGCATAACTTGTTCAAGTCACGATATAGCTAAAATATATTGCCGATGTGACTTTAAATGTTAACTCACTCACTCACTCACTCACTCACTCACTCACTCACTCACTCACTCACTCATACTAAAAACAAAACCGAAAGTAGAACATGTGGAGTTGATGAAAGTCCCGACACATCAGTTCTTCTGATCAAACTCAAGTGAGCTGCACTACTTCCAAGAGTCCTTCATGGAATAGACTGATTTCACCAAGTGACAGAACAATGGAGGAAAGTGTTTCTGTTTTCGAGGAAAAACATACCACAAAGCATTCAAAAAGGCTTTTTAAGATTAGAAACAACTAATACAACGTAGCATATCAATAACAGCTGTAGGCGTTGAGTGTGTAATGCCAGGATGTCAGTATAGTGCAGCTGACATACATGTATACAGTACAGTGCAGTGTGTGAGGTGAGGTGAGGTGAAATGGAGTTTAACGTCGCGTTCAGGATTATTGCACTTATGTAGCGACGTGCATGCACGGGTGTGTCTATTTGGCTGCTTGTAGACGTCAGTTCAACTGATCAACACTCAAGTGAGCCACACTTCTTCCAAGTGTCCTTCATTCAATAGACTGTTTTCATCCATGGCCAGTGACAGAACAATGGAGGTAAGTGTTGCTGTTGCTTACAAACCTTCTCAGATGTCTGAAGGATATAATAATTTTAAAGTTTTAAGTTTTAAGTTAACAAAATATCTGAATCACAATACCATTCCCGGTTATATTGTATTTGCTAAATAGTTTTACGTGCTTGTCAACTAATCAAAATGTCACCACAGTTTAAATTTCTAATACTGAGTCGTATATCAATATAGTATGTAGGCGTTGTGTGTGTAGAGCAACAGCTGCAGGATGTCAAATGTGCAGCTAATAATCATGTGTACAATGATGTTAGTACAAGCTCTAGTGGCTTTATCAGCGTACAAATGGCTGACCTTGGAGCGGGATGCAGGGGAATGCGTGCATAATCTTCCCATTTTCCTGTATATTATCAGCAGACAACATAACCAAAAACACAAACGTTTCTACCTTACCTCAAGGCTGTTTGATTTATACTATATTCCTCAGCTCCAACCCATTTAATCGATTCTATCACGAATGGTGGAGAGTAAGTCTAACACACTCTGGTCTCACCAAGCTAATTCTCCGTACAAAAATCTTTATAAATCTCTTGTAAATACGCATTGAAATTGACTAATTTAACACATGTCCACGTTTTCCATAGCCTTGGGTCACTATGACACCGTTCATATGGTAGTCGGCGCAGGGGTAGAATGGTGGTTAAAGATTGGTCTGCTGAAAAGCTCCATGCATTCCTCAAAGTATCCTCCACGAATCCGCATAAATAAGTCAAACGCAATCGTGTTGAATTTCCATTCTAACTGAATATATAAATTCGCCTCATAGCTTTGTGGGTCACAATGACCCTGAACATGTCAGGAGTCAAATGATATTTTTAGATCATGATTACACCAACTGAGAAATCGTTGATCCCATGTGGCGCAAAATAGCTTCTCTTTCACATACCCATCTTCGAATTCGAGAAGTTTATTTGTCACTATATGGCTCAGACATTACCGATACAACGTTAAACCTTAGCCGAGAAACGCTCTTCGATTTGAAGGTTTGTTTGTTTGTTTGTTTGTTTGTTTGTTTGTTGTTTAACGCCACAGTCAGCAATATTCCAGCTATATGACGGCGGTCTGTAAAATAATCGAGTCTGGGTAAAACAAAAGACTTACCATTGAACAGATTCGACCTTATTTGCCTGGTAAATATATTTATCTTGTATCAATACTGACAACACCATCTCTTACACACGAACACCTGTTACTCTCAATGGTGAATATATGATGGGTGGAAAACAGGATCACATTACATTTAGAATCCCAGTTATTGCATTGATGCATTGATGCATGTGAGTGCCAGTGGAGAGGCAGGATTACTCTCACCTTATATCATCACTACCAATATTTGATAGCATGCTTCATCTTCCAGAGGCAAGGGAGTTAACTTACTATAAAAGTCCAGTTTCCACCCTTGCCGAACTAGGCTTGAATTTCCAGCCTCGATCGTAGCGCCACCAGTGGCCATTACGAGTTATGGCCGTTCTATGTACCTTCAATTGACCAATCAGATTCCATCTCTCATATCACTTGCATTACTTAAAACAAAATTGCGGCGCCTAGTCAAGACTATCTGCTCGATAATAAAGTCTATATTGTAATAAAACGGGTCTTACCCCACGAAGTGCATGAAATCACGTGAGCACCTCGGTTCAAAGCATGAAAGAATATCTGTCAACCCCGGATGTTAACGAACCGGATGTCTAGTTTGTTACGCGATTTTGATTGGACTATGCATAAACTCGTTAGTCCAGCCAAAATGTAACTCCATAAGTGCAGCCTAGTTCGACAAGGGTGGAAACTGGACTTTTAAAGTCAGCTAACTCCCTTGCCTCGGGAAGATGAACATGCCTATGATATTGTCGGAATCATACAATGGACTCCTTTTAGAGATTTCTTATGATTACGGAAATGCTTGTGTCACTTTTATTTATTACCATATGTAGATGACTGTCAGCAGAGATTTAATGGTAAGATATTTCTAGGTAAAGCATTTATCAATCTTACCGCCTGGTATTTTCTGGTTTCTAACATTTGGATTTTCCCATGAACCTTTGAAAATCACACAAAATATATTTGCATTTTTAAGAAATGTTGGTATGTCATAGTTTAACCTTATATCTGTTGATATTTTTCTGTTGATAAGTCATACATATGTTTCAGTTTCCTCAAATCATAGATCTAAATGTAGGAGGGCGGCACCTGAGCACCCGTATTTCAACTCTCAAAAAGTACCCTGATTCCAAGTTGGCCGATATGTTCAGTGGGGAATATGTTATGCCAAAAGACAAAGACGGACGATTCTTCATCGATGCGGATGGGGACGTATTCGCTCACATTCTCAACTTCCTGAGGTACGAGATGCTGCCCCCTCCCGACCAGGCAGTGGCTGTACACAAATATGCAAAAATATTTGGCATTAAGCCTTTGCGTACTAAACATTTACAATGGGGACCAGTCTTTGCACAGGCTTTGAGAGACAACTGGAAACGTGGAATAGCCGGATATGACGACTGCCTGAATCAGTTGCGGGAAGGCCTGGTGGCAAGTCGGTATCAAAGTGGTGTCTTGTACATCCAGTTCTCGGATTCTTCTCAACACATGTTCACTCTGTGCAAGGTGGCTGGTATTCCTGAGGGACATCAGGTCATCAACGTCAAATACTCCTCCTCCACAATGGATGGGACCAATCTTGTCCATTTCCTCAATGAGGATCTGAAGCGTATCGGTGTTCACTTTCAGCCGGGGGACTTCCGACCAGAACCAAAGTGTGGTTGTCGCGTGGCTTTGCGGTACATGATAAAACATGAGTAACTGATGTACCCCTAATTTTCACATTGTGTGGTTTGGTACGATTAATGTATACTTCCCAGTCGAATAACATACCTCATGCTTGTAGGCGGCGTAATCGTCGACTAAGCACTGTGCCACACAGGTATTTGAAAAGACGAAAAATAATAAATAATGAATTGATGTAACTTGTTTACACTAATAAACAGCCGACTATGATCATTTTCTTCTGACATACTTTCAAGCTTGTCAAGCTTTGTAATGGACAGTATAAGTGTTCCAGACTGGGGAAATTATCCACAGAAGTGAGAGATCCACATATGTTGTAGAACTGACAGAATCATGAATCCAAACGGACCATTTGTGGACCTCGCAAACTAAGAGATGACCGTCTGTACTCCTAAATTTTTTACTCTTAAATACATTGTTCCAGATTTGTGACCCTGCTTCACCATCAGGAAAACATCTTGTCATCTTCATTGACAGATACACTTAGGTGAAGGTTTTATCGTGGATGAATTCTGTACATTTCGTCCTGAGAATCTTAGCTGCTTAAAGAGTTATGGTATTTTTAGGGAGATCAACCACATTTCCGTTTTCATAAAACATGACAATCCATTGAAGTTCTAATGTTCCGGATATCCTATGCTAGAATGAGCGTTTGACTGTTGAGGACATTGCACTCATTGTTAGATACGTCGTCTCCTGGCAGACTATAACAAGGGTGCGTCCGTGCAGTCCGTTGCCCGTTAAGGGCCGTGGCTAGCTGATGGGGCTCTTCGGGAGTGTTTCTGTCTTCTCTTACTAGTACATATAGGATTACCTTAGTACATGTCATATGTGGGTCTGTCAGTAGAGGATACTCCGAGTCCAACGTTAGGGTGGAAGTATTTCTTCATTAACCTTGACATTAGCGTCTTGGTAGATGAATCGGTCGTGTTCAGAATTTGTTCTAGTTTGGAATCGACATGGCAAATGAGATAATATATTTTCAATTTCCTAATTAAAAATAGTAATTGTTAGTGAACTGTTAGACGTTAAAGATTCTGGGTTAAGATTGGTTTTCAGCAACCCACGTCTGTCGAAAGAGGAGACTTGGTTGATGGATATCATCATATCCCAATTGCATAGAACAATTCTCATAATGTCTGGTTCTTACTCGATTATGTATAGATTGACAACAATCAAACATATTCCTAGCGATTTGAATAAGGTAGTGTGTGATGATTCTGACAAACTTGATTAAGGATTGTATTTGTTGACGTTCATCAGCTGATAAAGAAAGTGCTTCACGTGAGCAAATTCCATGATGCGCGTTTGGATTTCATGAAGCAATACACGGGAGTGTGGAGCTCAGTGATTTCATTTGGTAAGTCGAGCATTCTCTGTTATAGCTTCGATTGGACGCTTCATTGGACGCTTTTGTTGGAATACGCACAATCTAAAATTGTCATACGATGATGACGTTCCAATTTGAAATTTTTTGACATTGAGAAATTACCCCAAAAGTAGTTCTATATGTCTCCGCACGATTGACAACGTAATCACGTGACATATTGACGTTGATCGTGAAATGAACGACAGTCAGCTTGGTAGTGTTCACCTATGCGAGGTCACCCGCTACTGTCAATATCGGTGTACATTTTGCGCGCCATACTTCCAGTAAGAGGGGCGACAATTCACTTGCACTTACACTGACACTGATCGGGGTGAAATTATACAATGTCACTGCACCATTTCTGAGATATTATGTTGGTAAAGGAACATAGTTATTTTTTTATATTGTTTGTGTCACTCATTCACTCCACACAGACAAAGAGTATTCAGTCAGCAATCACTACGTGACTCACCTATGAGTAGCGTCAGTTTGTTTAAGTATCTTGCATGAAAACAAAGGTCACTGTACTTTCTCTGTCGCTGTATATCACATGTTTTCCATGTACACCCATCGCTGTTCGCATGTGGCTACAAAAAGGGAAGACCACTTCATGTTTCCATAGTAATGCTGAATATGTATATGGATATTTCAAAGACGCACAAGTTAGAGGAACACCACACACAGCAGCACACATAGTCATTGATAGGGTTTGCAGTGCAGTTTATATGCCTGTACCTTCAGTAAGGCGGTAGTTCAAATGTTCAGATATGGTCGGCTTCGATAAGTCAGATAACACAGTTACACCTCCAGGACGTGTGTCGATTCAGTGGAGGCTGATCTGATCATAACGGATTGATGCCATGCATGCACATGGTGTTCTATCTACCTTGCACAAGTCATTGACGAGTAGTATGACATGCATACATCAGAAAGTAGTATCGCTTACTTACAGAACCGCCTACGTGGTCTAGTTTATAGACCTTGGAAGATGGTACTTGGTGTTACCCTGCCTGGCGATTGACATCACGGCTCGGACTCAGTATAATGTGCCTGAATGTTGTATTCATGTTAAACTGCGGCATAGTATCTCACTCGGCTAGCATTCAAATCGGCATTAGTCCGGACTAGTACTAGCAAACACACAAACACACAAACACACACGCACAAACACACACGCACAGTCACACACACACACACACACACACACACACACACAGACAGTCTGTGCACTTGCAACATGGCAAACATACAGTTAGGAGAGAAGTTTATCCCATCTCATCGCGGCGAACGTATCCCATGTTTTTCAAGGATGCAAGTTCAAATCAACCAAACAGAGCCTGAATTAGGTTAAACACCGCCTTAAACAGTGTTCCAGTTATATCACGGCTTGTCAGTATGAAGAAGGGTGAAAGCCCGAAGTGATGCAGGTCTTAGACGTTTACCACTTTGGTAAAACCCAAACGCACGGGTGCTGACACATCTAGAAACATAATCAAGGCGAACCGGATTCGAAACAATAATCATGGATTTGCCCCAGGGACGCAACTCTGCACAGCGACTTACGTCGCCTTAGACGACCAATCAAAAAGGGTCATTCTGTCATGTGTGTGTTTCTAGAAGACGTGTCCTGCATTAGTGTCCACAACGAATAACATCTCTCATGTAGATAAAATAATTAAAAAAATAACATGGCAATTTAATGTTTTAGGTGCAGGTTACCATGGAAATCATAAAGAATTGGGCCGCAGCAACAACCACGTCTTTGTCATCCCTTTACCGAGAAGAGGTCAAACAATTTGCGAGATGGAAGGTGGACCGAGGGGACTAGAGCCATAGTATCGGCCATCATATCACTGACTACAGATCCAAAAAGAAAGTTTTTTCACAATGATCCACTACTAGATGACTCAGAACTGCAGACCAGATAGTGAGGATAAAACAGAGGATAGTGGTGATTTTCTGCTGATAAACGACGGTGGCAACGACCAAATAAAAGGATTCGCTGCAGACAACAACATTCGTCATCACTGCGACGCTAAGGTAATTCATAGCGATGGAACAGCAGGGGTGCCAATTATAATGTTCCTTCAAGTGTTCATCATTCACACATTTGTGGACAGAGAGATGTTCCGTCACGTATCTTCCCTCCTTCCCAACAAGAAGCATACTACGTACGACAGGATATTCCATTTACTTCCAGATGCTGTTACTGTGAGAGGATAACAGCTTTCGCTTCAAACCTTCCACGTATGAATCCAATTAAACCTGATATGCGCTTATTCATTTGGTAGTAAAAATATGTTAATATTGCAAATTGATAAACGTACTTTTTAATTAAGTATTGATGTTTTTATTTGCAGAAGGACTTTGAAGACGATGCCCAAAATGTTGCCATGACCATATTGCCGTGTGAGTGGGCGGGCTGCTTCTTCCACTTCACGCAGGGAATATGGAGAAGAGTGAGTGAGTGAGTATGGTTTTACGCCGCTTTTAGCAATATTCCAGCAATATCACGGCGGGGGACACCACAAATGGGCTTCACACATTGTACCCATGTCGGGAATCGAACGCGGGTCTTCGGCGTGACGAGCGAACGTTTTAACCACTAGGCTACCCGACCGCCCCTATGAAGAAGAGACGATGCCAGACGAACCCCGGCCGATGCAGAGCACTCGCGACTATGTGACCACAAATGGATTGTAGGGCGTCTGCAACTACATCAGTGGAAGCAAGTTGTATTTACTATTCAAGACTCCTGTCCAAAGTACATGTCACAATATATTTTATTGTTGATTTACAATGTATAAACTCTGATGTATACACACACAAAAACATTCTGTTGTGGACAACACTTTAGTCATGCTTGATGTATAATGAACATAAAATATACGGCAAATAAATATTTGTTATTTATAAATGTGTTTATGTTTATGAATCCATACGACCCCAAGCTAAAACAACTTCCGACTTTAATGCACGGAACGAAGCCGTGTCCATGAGTATGCATGCATTTCTTGTGTCTTGTGGGTGGAGCTACTAGATTCTACGTTGATATTAATCACTGATATTGCGTTCTGCAGCGCTCCAAAAGAGTTGAAGCTACTAGATTTTATGAACGTTACGACTAATTTTGTAATTTATTGCAGCGTTAAAAGTTCTCAAATACATGCTATTTATCTCAGAGAGGAGTTTATGTAGAATGAAACTTGAACTTTGTAATTTTAATAATATACTTGTGATCTCGTACTTGAGTTTCTAGCCTTGGTTTCATTAATACATATAAAGTGTACAGAATATAGTTGTGTTACTCTTGTGTAAAGTTCTAAACTATGGAATACTGTAAGGGACATTCTCGCGATCTCGACCTTTGGAAACGTGGTAAATATGCCCAAAACACGAGAATGTGAGATCGCGAGAACGCGAGTTTTGGTCAAACTCTCGCGTTCTCGTGTTTTGGGCATATTTACCACGTTTTCAAAGGTCGAGATCGCGAGATTGCGAGAATGTCCCTTACAGTATTCCATACCAAATCTTTATTTTATCTGGTGCCAGAAGACCACCTCCGTGTTCTAGTAGTAGAGCATCCGCCCGGAGAGCGGAAGGTCCGAGGTTCGATCCCCGGCCGCGTCATACGTTAAAAGATGGTACTTGTTGTTACCCTGTCAGGCGCTCGGCATTTAGGGACTAAAACAAGGACTGGTCGGCTCGGGGTCAGTATACTGTGTCTGAGTTGGATGTTACACACACACACACACACACACACACACACACACACACACACACACATGAGCATGCTCGTCGCTATATAAGTGCAATAATCTTGGACGCGACGTCACCTCAT